AAATAAAAAGAAGCCTTCAAATTGCCACCTTGATGTTATTGGTGATGTTCTAAATTTAAATTTCATGAGCTTCTACAGAACTTTAGGAACAAACTAGTAAATCATCTTGTTAGGAAAGTTTTGTCTCTTTATGATTCCTCCCAAGAAAAGAACAAAAGAAAAGAGAAAAGAAATGCACAGAGAAATTTAAAACTTAGAATATCTGTAACTGAGAAAATTAGAGAACAAGTCCTTCTATTTTTTTATGTTCAGACAATACACACTGCTCTTCTATGGAGAATTCTGTTGTTGTTGTTGTTGATGATGGTGAGGATGATGAAATGTCAAAAATGTCAGCCAATCATGGTAGTACACAGTGTAACCTCATCACTGGGAGCCTTAGGCAGAGGACAAAGTGAGATCCATTCAAACAAGTAAAACAACCCTAATATGAAAACCAACAGTTCAAAAACAGTGGTGAAATAGATGACTAGAGAGGTAGCTAGAGAGATGCTGCTAAAAGCTACAGTTTGATAAACAAAAATAGATGTATGGTCTTTGGTGAAAATAAAACAACAACAACAACAACCAACTAATCAACCAACCAAACAAACAAAACACAGTGAGACATGTTTAAATCTGAACAATGGCTGTAGAATTGAAGTTCTTGTTTTTGTTTTTGTTTGAGCACCTACCATATTCCCAGCATCAGGATTCAGTGTAGAGAAAACCTGCTACCTAGCTCTTAAAATTGACTAAAGTTGCCAGGACAGTCACCTAAAATTCATGATTCTGTGTTGTGTTGAAGAAGCGGTGTCATGGCTCTCACTGGGTCTGTGAGAACATGGGAGCCAGTCCTTCACCTGACAGGACTTCACAGACTTGAGAGGTATAGAAGGAGGTGGAGAATGGCAGAAAAGGATTTCAAAATAAAAGCCAGAAGACAGGCTTACCAGTGGAAGCCTAAGCAGGAGAAGGCCTACCTACCTACCTACACACACACACACACACACATACACACACACACACACACACACACACACACACACACACACACACACACGATCACTCTGAAGAAATACCAAAATGCTAAATGTGTGAGTGTAAAGGTTGCCTATTCCAGAAACTAAAAGTTGTTTATATCTTAATTCTACTTTGGAAGATGCAATGCAAAGGGAAAAGGAAATGAAGCTGGGGAGATAAACAAGAAGCAATCAGAATGAGTTCTGAAACACAGTAAGAAACTGGGATTGAATCTTGAAGGCAATATTAATCAAAAGATATTATATTGACTTAGAGTTTACAAATTTTTGCTATACACTAGAAAATGTATGGTGGTGAACATGGGGAAAAGAAGGCTAGAGACAGAATTAGATTTAATTTATTCCCAATAAGTCAAGCTCCCCCACCCTCAAAAGAAAGGAAAACAAGAGGAAGAGAGTGTGGAGAGGAAGAGGAAGAAGAGGATAAAATGATGAAGAAGAGGAGGAGGAGGAGGAAAAGGAGGAGAAAGAGGGAGGAGGAGGAAAATGTTGATGTCTGAAACAGTTGAGTGGAGTAAGGAGAGAGGGTGCTAAATGATGAGAGATACTTAGAGCATGGAGCCAATTCTATATGGAGCAATGAAAGAACATACTGTCAAAAGAGATGATTTGAGGGATTTTTTGTTTGTTTGTTTGTTTTTGCCTGGTTATCTCTTTTATGTTAAAATTATGGCCCAGGCCAAAAAACAAACAAACAAAACAAAACAAAGCAAAACAAAAACATCTCTTTGCATAATGACAACATTCACCAAGATGATAAAACACAAGTATTTCATGAGAAAAGAGATGGAACTAATAACACATTTGTGAGGCATGCAATGGATATAGGGACCAATCAGTCGGAAATGTGGGTGTAAAAGTGATAGAAGAAATCTGGGCTGAAGATACTTCCCTTCTGATGTGAGGTCATCAATGATAGCTTCTAAAGCTAAAAAATGGGTATGATCATTCAAATGGGCAAACTGACGACAGAACAAATAGGAAGACAGCCAAACCCTTAAAGACAGGCCTTTTTATTATTTTTTAATTTTTTTATTATTATCATTTATTAAAATGTATTCAATTTGTATTCCAGCTGTGCCCCCTCCCTTGTCCCCTCCCAATCCCACCCTCTGTCTCTCTTCTTCCCCTATGTCCCTCCTCTAATCCATTGATAAATGAGGTCTTCCTCCCCTTCTATTTGTCCTTAGCCAATAAGAAACAAGAATAAGATGAGCCCCCAAATTAACATGACCCCAAGTGTAGGAAGAAAGTCAATTGAGTTTGTTGTTCTGGAAACCAATTATTGAAAGTTCTGGAAGAAAGAGATTGGGAGCAATAAATTTGATACTTCAGGGAAAAAATAGCATTTTTATTGCAATAAAAATTGCCAGTACACCTAGAAACAACATGGAAGTTCTGGAGAACTTCACTGGAGAGGTTAGTTTGTTTGCTTGTTTGTTTGTTTGTTTGTTTGATGCAAGAATGCACATCATGTTTACAGTTGATGTACAAGTTGGGTGGTGATGATATAGTATCCATCCTACAATTCCTGAAGAAACTGAGATGTTGAGTTGGAAAGTCAGTAAGAGAAATGTCTTTGGAGAATAAAATCTTATATCACATCTACATTCTTATGGGAGCGCCAGATATAAAGTAGGAAAATCAATGAGTGGAGACTGACAGGGATTGGCCCAAATGCAAGCGTAATGCAGCAGTACAATATAATCCATTTCTCACTGCTCAGTACAAATGTAAGGATGTCCCCATCCCTAGCATTCCACACCTGAGTTGGCTCACCTTAATCGTGAGAGCTACTACGATTTCATAATTAGAACATAACTTTGGTCAATTAGTCTAAATGTACCTTTTAGTTTTGTTTAAGTGGCTTAACTATCATGACGAGTGCAAAGTCCTTAACATAGCTTCATATGTGTGTATGTGTAATTTTATTATGAGTAATATTATCTGGCATTAATACTCCTAATGATGGACACTTGATTTTTAAGTTTGTGGGCTCTCATATATCATATTGGATTCTCCACATTTGGTTGAAAAACATTTACATATATGTCTTACATTTTGTTGCGATTCAATTGTAAATTAGATTGGGAGTTTAGCTGGGATCTTTAACTGCTACAGAGCTTCCTGTTATAAACTTGTGCTACTTAAGGAGATGCTAAGAATAGTTACGTTTTGATCATTTGTGTGCTCTCATTGATTATTTGTATCATATTTGAGGCATTCAGAACTTGGGCTTCCTCAGATGAAAGTTAAAATCTATGCATTTTAAACAAAAGGGCAATTAAGCAAGTAGGGACTCTGAGATGTAAGTCCAGCTTTCACTCTTGATGGGATTGCCTTTGATAGCCATTACTGTTCTCTGCTTATCATAATCTTGCTTATAAATCAGTTAGGACCTTCCAGGTTCTTGTCCTGTGTGTCTGGGAGAACATATTGTAAGTCAGTGGATGAATTTAGGAAAATAACCCTTCACCCCAGTAGCTAATGGAGAAATAGAAACTCAAGAGACACTGCTAAAGGTGGAAATCAACTGTAGTCTACTGCCAGTGGGTTTGATTCCAAATCACCACTTTCTATCCATAGGTTCTATAGCGTGTCATTGTCCAAGGCATGCTAAGGTCATAAGAGCTCTCCATCAGCTTCCTTCTCACGGTACTCAGAACCACTTGGATGCTGCTTCTCCAAGTACCATCAATGTCTCCTCAAGACTGTCAGATAGTCGTTTCTTTAAGCAGAAAATGTTCCTTCTGGGCAGTAACACAATGTCTGTAATGGTGGGACGAGTGACAAGGAACAAGATTCTTTCATTATGGAGCTCCTTCACATTTTCTTGTCCTCCTCCCTCAGAAATATACGTTTACGGCTGCCACAGAGGCAGCAGAGTTTAAAAAGGGAAGGAAAGAAGAGAGTAGCAGTCAACCCTAAGCCTGGCTATTTGTATTCAGTGTGTAGCCGGTGTGATGAAATTTGTGGGTAACTCACTCCCCAGTGAAGCCTGCTGGAATGGGATCTAATGTTCGCCACCCTGAACACTAATGAAGGGAGCCAGGCGGCAGTACTGGTTGCCTCTGGGGACTCATTTTTCACATCACCAAAAAGTAATTTCTGTCATTTTCGGCCATCTGGTTGACTGGATTGTGAAGATGAAATTCTGTTCAAGAAGTGTTTAAGAGTGGAGTCCGCTGGGCTTCAAATTCTTTTTGCTTTCACTTATTTTCATCCGTGTCTTGGTTTCTTACCTGAAGATAAAACCTTCATAGAATACCATATCTTTATTATAAGAAATGATATTTCTGAAGTATACTATGGATCATGGTAGATCTATGCTTAATTAAAATTAGCTATCATTCAGTTGTTAGCAGTGTTATTGATGGTAGTATTAAAAATAAAATGCTGTGGTATGTTTATAATCTATGTTTACTTAACATAGCACCTATTAATTTAGTTTATATCATTTAACTTTTATTCTATATGTAACATATAGTGTATGTAGAAGCTTTCTATTTCATTAATTATCTTATGAATTTTATATGTGGGTGCCATGTCTTATTGGATCTTACATTAAATATCAATTGTTCTTTTATTTGCATTTGGGTGTTGTATAATGTATTTGTTATAAATGAAATAATAAATTCAAGTGGTGATAATTTATTGTAGAAGTGTTAAGAATGGGCATATTGTCTAATTTGTCTTGAACAGAAAAGAGCTAATGCATTTTCATTGTACACATTGTAAGTACTTCCTGTAACACTCAGATGACCATGGTGGGAGGTATTTCCACCTTATAGATGTTTTAGGACCTCCAGAGAGATTTGGAGAGCAAATAGGTAGTGCAGGAATTAAGTATTCTGGCTACTTAACATGAAGTTTCACATTTGGCAATGGAGTCTGAAACGTACCAACTTCACATTTACAGAACACTGCTGCAGTTTGATTCTACTAGCATGATTATAACCCATTTCCTTCTGTCTACAGTTCCACCAAAGATCTCCAACATCTCCTCGGATGTCACTGTGAATGAGGGCAGCAATGTAACCCTGGTCTGCATGGCCAATGGCCGCCCTGAACCTGTTATCACCTGGAGACACCTTACACCAACTGGTAAGCCACTGGGTTTTAAGATGCCACACAATATTTAAGATTCTACTGGAACAAAAGAGCAAATGTGCATCTTTTTATGGAAATTAAAACAAAACAAAACAAAACTGCAGTATAAATGTTGTTTAGGGTTCCCACAGTCTTTGCTAATGTTAGTAATGTTTATCTATCTATCTATCTATCTATCTATCTATCTATCTATCTATCTATCATCTATCTATCTATCATCTATCTATCTATCTATCTATCTATCATCTATCTATGTAACTTATGTAGAAATAGTGATACATAAAATTGTCATTCAAAATAGGCTAATTCTCAAGGGAATAACTATAAGAACATTAAATCATATAGATACATATATAATGTATGTAACAATAACAATTAAAGAGAAAGGCTATCAAGTTGAGGGAAGGGGCATGGAAGGGGCTGAAGGAAAGACTGGGAGGAGGGGAAGTGATATCATTTATTTTTCAAGTAAAACATATTTTAAAAAATAAAGCACAAAAATAAACTATATATCTAAAATATACAGCACTTTGGTGGTTGAATATCTTTAAAATTGTTATATAAATCATTTTACACTACCTTCTAAAGTCATTTTCAACCACAGTTTCCTAGGCAGGTTCCTCCTTGTGGTAGCACCATGTGAAGAAATTGGGAACAAAAATGTCTCTGATTCCTAAGTCCTGGGCTTGGCATCTGTCACTGTGATGGTTGCCAGGCAAGAAACAGGCTGTGGGGGTCTATCACTGAGTCCAGATAATGATACCAATTCAGTGAAATTCATGCTATGACTTCCCAAGAATGTGTTCTGCACCTTTCCATTGCCCCTTTGTGCTACTTTCATCTTAACCAAGTCCCAGGCCCTCGAGGTTTACAAGCATATTTAAGCATTTTTACCAAATGATTCAGGATTAATTAGTTGCATTCTCCCCTCTTCAAATTATGTTTTCTTATCTGCAAAGCTATGTCTATGCAAATACAACAATCTCTGTGTACTAGTATCTGCTGTTTGCTAATTCCAAAAAGATCTACCAAGTCAACTATAGATAGATTATTCTTAGAAAATCATTTATTTTAGTAAAGAACCTCATCTTTAACTGTCATATGTCTGATAGTCTCTAATAACTTTTCTATAGAATGTTTATACAATTTCCAAGGTAACTGGCTTTGAAATGAATAACAATGAACACATGTAAAACTGGTGTACAATGAAACATATCCCGGGAGACCAGGCTAGTGTTTGATTACAGTGGTTCTAAATAGCTCTTCATTTTTGTGGTAAGATAATCAGGAAACTGCATTTGACATCATAGTCCAAATTAATTTCCACGTGAAATTTGGGTCAACTTTGTAAACTGCTCTTCTGACCAGGCTAATATTTTTATTAGAAACCTCTATTCTATTAAAAAATGTTGTTCAAATTCCATCCTTATATTTGTTTGCATCCCATCATTTATTAATAACATGTAAGAGCATCATAAGATGTACTTATTTGGGGGTATCAGCATCAAACACATTTTCTCACACTAATTTTATGCCTCATGTGGCCAGAACACACATATAGTCATCTAAAACATTGCCTTGTAGAGGTTGTACATCTTTTTCTAGAAATAAATTAATTCTTCAAAGTACTTTCTTCCTGGAAAACTCACATTATACCCAACTATTCTAACTAGCCAGTCCCAAGTATAACAGTGTTGTTTTTGCCTACTGGCAATTTAGTTTTAAATTTTATCTTGTATATAAATATTTTCACAAAGACATGTAAAACCATAATGTTATTCAAAACTTATAATGTTACTAAAATTCTTCCATAATTTTATTTTGAAAGGCTTCTTTCAGAAACTTACCTTTTTACTTTCAATATCTCTATTTGTCTTTTCCAAAGCAATGGTTTGTTTCTTGAAAATAGACCCAGAGAATTTATATGAATCTTTCATTGTATTGACTGTTGGTAGATATACCACCCAATTTATGAGCAATCTGTTAAGAACATAAATTATTATATATAAATCTCATAATAAGAACATTGATTTTAAGCACTCCACTTAGGAGTTTGTGGTCTCAAATTCATAGCCAAACCACACTCTCGTTTTCATATCATTATTTTAACTTCTCTAATCTTTTGTAATTAAATTTAAATTTACATAACTATTTTATTAATCTCTTAATGTCATTCAAGGAGCAAGTGGTAGATTAAAAAATGAAAAATGTAGGATTTAAAGAAGGAATGTACAGTCATTCTATGATCAATAAGAAGTCATAGTAATGGAAAGACAGTCTTTCTTTTGTGTAATTTTGAGTAAGTATGATTTTCAGAAAGAAAATAAGATTGTTCCCTGGATCCTCCAAACACGCCTTTTTAGTCCTCAGATTTAGAAAAATTCTAAGAATCAAATTGTCAAGATTTTTGCTACTTTGTTGGCATATTTAGGTCTATATGACTAAATCAAGTAAACTTCTATGTGATGATAAACATCTTTCTTGAACCCTGAAGAGCATGGTTTCTGTGATGACTCTATTAAAACAAAGAACAGAGGACCAGTGATGTTTTGCATAGTTAGGACAGTAAGTATTTCATGTGCTTCCAAAACTCTGATTTCAAAACCAACTACAAAAAAATTGATGAACTCACAAAGATGCTCAATAGTTAATACCAGGGGTCAGCTTATTATAGCCTGTGGGCCAAAAGTTGTCTGACCTACCCATATACTTACTGCCTATAAACAGCAGTGATTATAACATTCCTGAATAGTTTCAAATAATCAAAGGAATTCTGAGTTATGAATCAAAACAAATGTATAAACTTCAGACTTGAGTACAGATACATAAAGTTTTGTGGAAACAGCCACGCTGAATTAGTTGCATTTGATACATGGATGCCTTTGATCTAAAAACAGCATGCTTTGGTAACAGCAACAAAATTACTTAGCTCACAAAGCCCGAAATATGTTCAATTTTTGCACCTTAGATTAAAATGTATACATATATTCCTAAGACCATAGCCAGAGACACAAACAAAGATTTGCCAAACCCACAAGTAGTCCATAGAGTTGTGTATGTATTCTGTGCCAGTTTTCTTCTTTGCTTGTTCATAGTTGTATGTGCAGGTTTTCTTTCTGAATCAAACTGTATGCTCCTATACTCAGAAAAACTCCTTGATGCATTTGCATACTCAGTATCAAACCCCTCTTCCTCTTACAAGGGACATACCTCACTTCCCAAGTTTACTCTTTCATCTCTCACACAAGGCCTTCATAACCAAAGAAACACCTGACCAAACCATCTTCTTAGTGACAAGAGTGAGAACTTGATTTATGTACTTTTTATTTAAAAAAAAATATTGTGTGTGTGTGTGTGTGTGTGTGTGTGTGTGTTTCTTTGAAAATTTGGGAAAGGATAACCTTTTTAGCCAATCCAGTGACACTGTCCTTGGAGACATCTGAGAAAGAGACTTGTTCCCCTTATGACAGCTGAGCTGCCTACAAACGTGATGGGGAAAATCCAGCTAGCTTTGTTCAATTATTAACTGTGCCTTTCACAGTACAGAGCAGGACTCCCTTCCAGAGGAAATGTACCTGTGATTAACTAGACCCCACAGGGGACACAGAGACCTGAAAGCTGAAGGTACCATGCAGGGAATCACAAATGTCTGATTACTTGTCATTTGATGCCATGAAAAGGGAGCGAGGGGGGGGGGGAAGGATGGTGTGATTTTTAGAAAAGAATATTATCTCAATTCAGTCATTTTGTTTGAATTTTTTGGTTAGGTTATTTTGTTTCTCCTTTTCTTTGATCCTTGAGGGTTCCCTCCCCCACCCCCGAGGATGCTGCAAATGTTTTTAGAGGGAAAAGTGCAAGTATCATGAACTTTCTATATACTCAAAATCAAAACACCTCACTTGAAGAAGAGACCAGTCTCATATGCGGATTTCTTAAATTGTTCTCATTTTCAGTTACTGCATATTATCAAAATGGGTGTCGCATATGTGGTTATTAAATGTGACCTAGTTTTCCCGTTAATTAAGTTAGACTCTCATAGGCCTGTGGTTCCTGGGAGTTACTGCACCGGAACATGTATTTTCTATGACATCTTTGATCTCCCTTCTTGAACAATGCTGCTTCCATCATCAAGTGACCTCGCTTCTGAATCTTTCTTCTGGCAGTCGTGGGGAAAGGAAACCTTTCTCCCAAATGTGCCTCATGTGGTGTCAGAGGTGCTCAAGTTTGCAGAAAGAGCCGGTGTGCATTTTGATTCTGCAAAGGTTTTCACAGCCTCAGAAAACTGAAGAAGTACACTGAGGATTTCACCCCTTAGGCTGAGATCAACTCAGGAGGCACTATGTAATTTTCCTGACCAGCCAGAAGCAAAGGGAGACCAACAGAGAGAATAGAATTTTTACTTAAGAAATGTTTTGCTACATGGGTTTTGAAAAAAAAATACAATGTCAAACTCAAGTCATTACTTTAAGTCGAACTCCAGAAGCACTTGCTCCTGGTAACAATCATCTTATCTTTATTTTTTAATATTAATTTTTTATTTTAATTAGAGTTTATTCACTTTGTATCCTAGCTGTAGCCCCTCCCCTCATTCCCTCCCAATCCCACCCTCTCTCCCTCTTCTCCTCCCATGCTCCAACCCCAGTCCACTGATAGAGGAGGTCCTCCTCCCCTTCCATATGACCCTAGCCTATTAGGTCTCATCAGGACTGTCTGCACTGTCTTCCTTTGTGGCCTGATAAGGCTGCTTCCCCCAAAGGGGGAGGTGATCAAAGAGCCAGCCACTGAGTTTATGTCAAAGACAGTCCCTGTTCCCCTTACCCACTTAGATACTGAGCTTGTCATGAGCTACATCTCTGCAGGGTTTCTAGCTTATCTCCATGCATGGTCTTTGGTTAGAATATCAGTCCCAGAACAGACCCCTGTGCCCAGATGTCTTGATTCTTTGCTCTCTTTGTAGAGCTCCTGTCCCCTCCAGGTCTTTCTATCTCCCGCTT